AGCCTGCAACTCAAACAGCTTTAAAGTCAGCCATTCTAGCTCAATGCACTCAATGCAAAGATAAACTAATTTGATGCTTACATGTTGAGGAATAATGCTAGGACATTATTAAGTCTTTGTTTTCTGTAGTTAAACCATTATGGTTCCATAAGAACTGAAAACTTTGTATGTGTAGGGAAAACAGTGCAGTTCATAGTATCTAGTGGACTGTAGTCTGAGGTAGGTGTTTTGGGAAATGTTCACAATGACTGTGGGTTTAACAGCATTCATGATATTTAGTGTACACACTAGGTGTTCAGACCAGTGCTGCAGTGAAGTTGCATGCTACGACCATAGGTGAGTTCCAGGAATACCTTGTGATTTGGCTGAATTTCTGGTCATTGTGTCTTAAGAAACCTTCCTCTTTCCAAACTTCTCACAACTACTACATTTGGTTACATGACTCCATATAGGATTGCAACCCACAGTTTAAGATGCTGTGGCATAAGGAAATGTGTATAGGAGAGTCCCAGGCTTGGAGAAAATGGCATGTTCCAACCAACTTAAAGTATCATTCTTTTTGTTTGTTTGTTTGTTTGTTTGTTTTTCGAGACAGGGTTTCTCTGTGTAGCTTTGTGCCTTTCCTGGAACTCACTCTGTAGCCCAGGCTAGCCTGGAACTCATAGGAATCCACCTGGCTCTGCCTCCCGAATGCTGGGATTAAAGGCATGTGCCACCACTGCCTGGCTAAAGTATCATTCTTTGATGGCTTCACTGCTTACTAAAAACATAGAAAGGAGACATTTTTTTTTTTAACCTTACAGTGGTCCTCTATTCCCACTACTCTAGTTTTTATATTTGCTAACTTATTCATCTATAAAGGTGTATTTGGGAAGCCATGTTAACCAGAAGAAAACTCTACTCTCCCATACTTATTATTGTGTAAAGAAATTTTTATCTTCTTCCTGAAAAAGGAAGATAATTCTATTTTTTTTCATAATCCATCCAAGGAAAGGAAGAGTTTTCCTAATCAGATAAACTGGGGAAAGAAACTAGGTGTATGTGGATCTACCCTTCTGTTTTTGTTGTGGGGTTCATGCTGTTGGAAATTGTGTGTCTTGTTTTCTCTGTGCATGCAACTGTCTTATACATACTTTGTATGAGCTCTGAGCTTCCCTATTTAGCATTCTTCACTGTAAGGACACATCAGAGCACTGAGGACCTTCAGCTTTACCTTCGTAGCCCTGTTGCAGCCCTATTATGCTTTTTACTTTAAATTTTTTTAAAGATGTATTTTTAAAAATTTTATGTATATGGGTGTTTAGCCTGTGGGTATATTGTGTACCACATGTGTACATTGCCCACAAGGCTGGCAGAGAGCTTTGGATCCTCTGGAAATGGAGTTACAGCTGATTGTGAGTCTCCATGTGGGTACTGGGAAATGAATTCCAGCCCCCTGGAAGAGCAACCAGTGCTCTTAACCACTCTCCCATCTCTCCAGTGCTGATGTTATGTTTTTAAAGCCTTTTAGCTTCTTGCCTTCATAACCCCTGCTTGCAAACCAGTAAAAATGCCTTGAGTTGAAAAAGCCACTTTGACCCTTAGACTTATTTTTCAACTCTTTTCTTTTTGGGGAGATCTTAACTTCTTAAGATACAAGCCACCCTAGTAGCCCTCCAATGCTTTCAAATAGTTGATTTTTTGAATTTATCTGGCCTTCCTAGTTTTTCTCAGAGAGAAAGAGTTGGATTGATACCAGCTAGAACAGTGGATCCTTAAGGATACAGTCTGAGAATCCTTGGGAAACCCTGATGATCCCACATCATCTTTATTGATATTATCACTGAAGTTATAAAAGCAATGATTGGAAAGGTACCTTAGTGTGAACCAAGCGTGTGACACCAAACTATACTATAGCTATAATCTTCACTGCCATACATTGTTAAAACAAATTTCAATTTTAATTGAAAAATGTCCTTAATATAGAATTGAAAACCATTGCTTTTACTAAGGCTTTAAAAATACTTATTTTTATGTGTATGGTATTTTACGTGTATGTATGTTTGGATGTCACATGCATGCTATGTCCATGGCGGCCAGAAGGGGACATCAAATCCCCCAGGACTGGAGCCAGAAATGGTTGCAAGTGGCCATGTGTGTGCTAGGAATCAAACCCAGGTCCTCTGGAAGAGCAGTGTTTTTAGCTGCTCAGCCATCTCTGCAGTCCCAGGCTTACATCATTCACTTTTAAGTGTTGTTATTAGCTTTCATGGTTGTAGCCTTTGAGTTATCCATCAGTGACTAAATACTGATAGATAAATGGCATGGATTGTTTCTAAGTATTAGAAATCCCTAACATGTTCTTGAGAAAGGACAATTAAACAGCCTCAACCGGCTTAGTCAGTCAGCCACAAAATTTACTTTGGGAAGCTGTCCTGACTCTACAGTGCATACCAGCTACCAAGGGCATTCAAAAACGTAAGAAGTCTTTGGGTTGCTTTAGAGACAATAAATAAAATCTGATTCTTATCTTGAAACACTCTAGATTTAGACTGTAAATTCAGATAATCCATTCCTCCTCATCAGTGAATATTCTGCCCCCGCCCAGTGTCTGGGAAATATGAGTATATGTAGAAATAACTGAGATGGCTGAAAGACAGGAGTAATTCTCTTTCCTGATAGATACCCAGCCAGGCTCTTTCTGTCAGGATTGTTTTACCTTTATAGCTCTGTAATGCTTAGAGTCAGAACAATTCAATTTTGGTTTTGTTTTTTCTCATTTTGATTTTGTATGTGGAGAATGTATCCCTATAACAACCTTCAGTTTTTGAGGGGATGGACTGTGCCTGCTTTACATCACATACAGTGTCTAACTGCTGTACAGGCTCCTGATGGTTGCTGGTCAGTTTAAATTCGTAATGCAGGAAATGAAGTCTCTGCTTCTAAATGCTGGTTGAGAATTCACCATTTACCATGCGCAAGGCACCGTGTTAGCCCCTGACAGTATGCCTTCTTGAATTTTATATTTTCCCCAGAGAAAAGGCGACAGCAATTTATTTAAGATGCTGAGGATGGGGCGTCTTCTTGCCTTGAAATAATTGTTCCCATGGCAGTAGAATTGTTATAGAAGAAATCATTTTTGTTGTAGTTGGAAGTCTTGCCTTCGATGAGAACAGATCAGGGCTGTAAAATTCCAGTAAAAGACCTGGACACTTGTCTTGCTTGCCATACCTTTTGTCAGACAGAACCGTGGTCTTCAGCATAAGCCTGGAGAGCAGAATTGATTCTGATTTCACACTGGAACTAGTGTTTACACCAGCAACCAACTGACCTGATAGATGTTGGTCCTCACATTAAGAGGCCTACGCCTTTTCTTCAGTGCTTGTTGGCAGGCCCTCAGCAGCCTTGGACATACCCTAGGCTCTTACACAAGGGAGCCCAGTGCAGGAGTTTGGCTTTGAACTCATAAATGGGTACATCAGGAGGCCAGTTTCTCTCCCAGTGTTAATGAGTTTAAATGTGTTACTTTCTAGACATCAAATGTTTGCAAAATGTACTTAGCACTGCTCTGCTCAGGAGCTACAGGTGATACTTCTTGGACCGTGCTCGGATGTTCCATATAATGCCGCAAAATTAAACATGTAGTAGAAATGCTTGCTTAAAAAATATATAATGTGACATTGGCTGAGGCCCTGGCTCTGAGGGCAGATGCCCAACTCTGCTTTCTAGCTGTGGGATCCTGAGTGAGGTTGTTCTCAGTGTGGAGAGCTCATTGCTTACAACCAGAACCCTAAGAGCTGCTAGGAGGATGAGCTGTTCTGGTCCTTGTAAAATACTGGACACATCAGTGTCAGTGGTTATTACTGATTTTATTTACTCCAGTGATGAGATCCTGTTCTAAAATTCCAGTCACCGAGCTCGATGGAACTACCTTCTTCACTGTCTCCCCAGTTTCCAGTTCTCAGTTTCCAGATGACCTGACTGTGTCTGCCTCCTAACACTTAAAACCAACACTGATTTGTTCCTGTGAGTGTGATGTCTATGGGGGTGAAGGATGCATTTCAGAATACTCTCAGGTTTGGGATATCAGACCTGCACAGTTATCTTCCTGTGTGTGCTGTCATTGCCACGAGCCCAGATATGCCTGTTGCTAATTAATCACTTCCACTGAGAAATTAATGAGTGGCTTAATTAGGATCATCTTTGAGTAGCAGGCAGTAGCATCTTGTACCAGTTCCAAGTTATTGGCTAGCTCTCACTAGTTCCTCTGGTATTCTGGAAGTTTAGACCGAGGAGGGATGGGCCTTATGCTTTTGTGTGTCTGTTTGCTCACCTAAAGAAGCTTGCAGAGGTTCAGTGGCATCTGTATACATTCATGAAGTGTCACACATGTGAAAACAAGCCAACATAACCACTTAAAATAAATCCACGGGGAAACTAAGATTAGTTATTGAATTCTTGTGATTGTGCTAAACAAGCAGGAAACATGTTGTTTGCAAGTGTTGAAAATGAGCCCGCACATTCTTCATATGACAGAGTATTTCATTTTTTCTGCTGAAAGCTAAAGTATTTTCCTTCTGGCTTCCTCATTTTGTAATATATATATATTTGAAATATTGCTGCATTGTTACAGAATGAAATCTGCACTCCATTTTCTTTCTTTTCACCCCCTTAGGAAAATATGGGAAAATGAGGCAAAAGGAGCATGTTCCTGCCTTATTTTCCTATGGTAGCAGAAAGGGAGTTAGGCATGGGAGGACCATCATGTCACCCCCTAAGCCTTCCTCCAGCCTTCCAGATGGACTGTAACCTTGCAACATGATAGAAAATCAGTAGACAGGTAGCTTCTATTTTATAGAAAGGGGAATCCTTTGAATCAAGTTCACAGATGAGGACAAGAACTGTGCAAGGGGCCGGCTTTCCCTGAGCATAGCTGCCAGTCTTGATTGCCACCGGCTTTTAGACTTGGGGAGATGATGAGCGTCACTAGAGGATCAGCTGAAATATTTTATATCCAACAGATTGGCTGCTCCTCCCAGGTGAAGTGGAACAGGCTATAAGTACCAGTGTTCCTGCTTATGTTCCTTCTGTGGACCTGCCTCTCACCTCTGAGGTGAAGCGGAAGCCCGCCATGGGAAGAACTCCGAAGCACACAGAAGAGGTACTCCCTGGGGAAGTCCGTCGTGACAGTACATGGGTTTTGTCCTTTCAGGGAACCCCTGTATCTGCATGCTTTTGTATTTTTCCTCGGTTTGGGATAATTTGGGGTTCAAATTGTTTAGTTGACCTTGCTCACTTCCATCTGTCTCTGATGTACACAGAGCAGTGATGTTTGGATGTAGAAACACGTTTTACCTCTGTAGTTCTGGGTAGGGTCTGCTCAGTAGATGAAAGGACGTTTTTTTCTCTTCTAGTCTAACCTGGTCATTCTGAGGGCCTGTAAACCTTTGGGTAAGGTAAAGACAGGATGTAAACAGGATCCCAGTCTGAAATCCATTCCTGAAAGGAGGTAGAAGTTCATTTCTTGCACTTAAAGATTTGTAGAGAGTTCCTACAGTGAACGGGTCGGTTCCTTAGAGTAATCGGAGATTAGAGGCTCTGACTTGAATCCATTGACAACTGCTGAGTATTGTTCATATCTAGGCATATGGAAGGCTGGAGAAGGTCACCTCAGCATAGTTTTCAAAAGTGGGGAGAACAGGATCCCTGCTGTAGTTTATCCTCCGTGAAGTGTTCCTTGAGAGCCACTGTGCTCTCATTTTACAGCTCTCTGCCAACAACCACACTGCGTACCCTGTCTAACACGGGGCGGGAGACCCAGGAGTTGCTGGGGCTCTCTATTCGTGTTTTCTGCTACAATCCCCAGGGCCCCTCTTCAATTTCCTTAGTCATTCAGGTGCTCTTGTACTGTATATTCTGTTATGGAATCAGCTGTTCAATCAGAGATGACATACACATTTCAATCTTAAATGGTCCTTTTCCTTATAGCACTTTTGTCTGCTATTCTGAAAAGTACACCCAGGATGCTTGCGGCTTGTAGTGAACTCCCAAATTGGTTGCTAGACAAATAAGTCAGAACAGCTGACTTACTTTTGAATTATAGATTATACTCTCTAAGCTGTAAGAAGCTAAAATCACAGGGCTTCTCCAAGTAGGAATCCATTTCATTTTAAGGCTTGTTTATATTCTTGGCTAGTTGTGACCATACAGGATACCAGACATGGCACCCAGCACCTAAGAAATGCAATTACTTTTATGTCGGTTATAGAGCCTCTGTATTTTGGGACAGCGATTGAAATTATTATAAATTAGTTTCAGTTAGTGGTTAAAGAAGCTTATTCTTGGGCCTCTCTCATAGTCGATGAAACTCAATTACAACTACGAGTGTTATACCTAGGGCCTTGCACACAGTAGACAAGCCTTTATTTCCCCCATTTTAAAAATTAACTTTTTGAGACTCTCATGAAATCTATTTTATTATATTCACCCCCAATTCCTGACTTCTCCTAGATACACCCTACCTCCCTAACCTCTCCTCCAGTTCCACATCATTTTTTTTTCCACATCCTTTTTTTGTCTTTTACTGAACTGTATCTTTCCCGTGTAACTTGTGCTGCCCGTGAACCTGTTCTGTAGCCCAGGCTGGCAGTTCTCTTGCCTCAACCTCCCAAGTATGACGATAATAGGTGAGTATCACTAAGGCCAACTTATGGCTGGCATTTTTTAAAGGACTGTAACTGTCCTAATAGAAAACATGAACATTTTAAAATGCTGGAATCAAATTAATATGGACAACTTTTGTGTTGTCAAACTCAGGAGCTATCTGGGACTAATTCTGGCTGCCTTTGGGCTATCCAGGCTGATATTTTGTATGTAAGCTTCATTACTTTTCGTTTGCAATCAGGTCTCACTAGGCAGCACAGGTCGGCCTTGAACTTGCTCATTTTCCTGCTTTCTAGAGCTAAGATTACAGGTGTGTGCCACCACACCCAGTTGGGATTTTCAGGTGTAATCATTATTTGTTGGAGGATCGTTTTAGAACCGTCTGAAATCACAACACTGAACCAAGTCTGACTGGGTTTAATGGCACAAATCTTATTTTTAACCACCTAAATCATAAAAGAATGTAATCATCAGTTTCTGGCAAGTGTCCTGTGAGGAACCATCAAGGAGCCTTTGGGGCTAGAGCTGGTGGTGGCTGCATTCAGTGACTGCAGTCTGAAAGCTAAAATGTGTTCTGTGAGTTCTGCTTCCTCATAATTGTCTTTTCAGAACCCAGCTTTCTGCTATGGATTGGGTCTGTTTGATTCCCCCTCTCCCCCAATGTTATTACTAGTTTATGTATGTACATTTTCCCCTTAGAGAGAGGGACATTTTTTTACACCTCCAGCTTGTTATTTGTCAATAAATCCTTGCTTTGATTCCTCTGTTTTGACAAATTTTGGAGGTTTTGAACTGCTTTCTAGAGCAAGATGAGTTCATAATAGTGAGAGGGAAATTGTGTTTCCCTGAAGACACAACCATGGAAGAGGTCAGTAGAGAAACTCAGGTCCCTTGTCTTCCATTTTACAATGGGATTCTAAACATTTCCCCACCAAGTTACTTTATTTACCACATCACTCTGTGTTCTAGCCTGTAGCTAAATGCTACTGTTATTGATTTGAGCATTAGTTTTGGGTTCCTTAATTTGCCCATGTGGTATTATGAATGAAAATGCATCCTCCTTTAACAGTGTCTCTGTAAGAATCAGTCACATGAGCCATTTTAAGGAAACTCAAAGTTTCCTAATAGTACACAAATTCTATTCCCATAGTGGTCACAAAAAAAAATTTCAATTAGGCTTGAAATTAGATACCTGAAATCCACACATTTCTCTCAGCTCCTTAGGCAAAAATAACAAGTTAATAACTTAATTCACACTTGTTTTTTGTTTAGCAGCAGGGGATTTGGTGTTGTATAGCAACAATTCTTCTCTAAAATAAACCAGAATTTCAATTTGTAGTTGAAACCTTGGAGCCGTAGAACTTAAGATGCTGAAATAAGCCCACCTTGAAAGAAGAAAGCTTCCAGACTGCCACAGCAGTCAACCGCTGGATGCTGGAGCAGCATGCAGCCTCACTGTGTTTGAAGGGGCACGGTGATGCTCTCTGAATGGCGTGGCACACCTCATTTCACTCGGAATTTCATGTCTGCACCTTGTCACTCCTGCATGCCTCTATAAGCTTATGTTATTGCAACATAAAATGTCAGAATGAGCTCAGAACCAAACATAGATGTAGAGCAGATATTTACTCAATAAACAAATAAACACATTCTTCCTGCTAACTGGGAATGACTTTGTGATACAGTGCCATGGTTGAGGTCTGTATCACAGACCTTATGCCTTTGTATACTCGCTCCCCAGGTTCTGGTGCTGTTTTGGGGGAATTGAGGAACGTTTGGAGGTTGGACTGTAGCTGGAGGAAGTGCGTTCCTGGAGGCTGCACAGCCCAACCACTCTGCCTGTCCCCTGTCTACTTCCTGCTCTGTGTAGATGGGTACACGATGCTGTAACATGTCCCCACATGATGCCAAGACCTGGGCCTGACCTTCCCATGCTGTGTTTCTTTTTTTCCCCTTTGGTATGGACGAATTTACTCTTACACTGCTGGAAGTGTGTAATATCTTGATTTTACAGGGCCTGATGGTTTAGAGATACTGAATATCAGAAGAGACTCTGCATTTGCACGTTTGAATGATTGCCAAAAAACTATAGGACTTTTGAAGCTGGACTGGATTCATTTTGCATTATGAAACAATCATGAGCCTATGGGGTCAGGGAGAGAATGTCCTGGTGTGACTGTGACATGCACCACATAGATGAATGTCTGAACATTTTGGTCTCCAGCTAGTGACACTGGTTTGGGAGGTGTGGAGTCTTTAGAAGGTGAGAGGGGTGTGGTCACTGGAGATGGGTGTCAAGGTGTTATAGACTGGCTCACATCCTGCCCTTGCTAGGCTTCCTGGTCCACATGGATGGGAGGAAGTGGCTATCACATGCTCCCGCCACCATGGAGCTATCTGCTGCCAGTGCCTTCTCCACCATGACAGGCTGTACCCCTCAAAGTTCGAGCCAAATAAAAGTCTTCCTCCGTTTGTTGTTTTTGTGAGGTATTTCCTTACAATGACCCAAAATGTAAATAATGTAGTGTCTTTGTCTCTTTCCTCCTCTCTTGGTTCCTTTCCCACAAGGTCACAGTGATCAAATCTCCCCTCCCATCCTTGACAAAAAGGAAACAAAAGAAGGAAAACACCCTTGGCTTCCCTTGGCCCTTTCTTTGGCTATGGTCTGTTCCTCTCCCTGTTTTTCCACTCAAATTCATGATGCCTCTAGTTGAGTTCCTCTTCCCTCTAGTTTCTGCCCAACTCCGTTAGTGCCCTGCTTCCTCTCTTCTCCTTCCTCTTTCAGTGAACTGTGAAATGCCTTGGCCTTGGCTGTCTACCTGAAAGTGTCCAGAATGAGGGTACCAGGTAGAGTCCAGTGGACCGGTCTGCCGCTTCCTTTTCTGTATTTACGGAGCATGGAGAGCCACGCCTCTTCTGCTATGGCAGTCTCCCTATACTCTTGCTTTACTGGCTCTCTCAATTCTGCTCTATTCTTTGTGTGTTTCTGAAATTGCTCCTCCCATCCTCCTTTGGAGGTCTTTGTCTGCCCATGCCTAACAAGTCAGTGCTCCCCAAGGCTCCATCCATACGCCTTGTGACTTTTCCCTCCCTGAATGCTGGAAGCAATTTTCATTCTAAATTCTTCCTGTTATGCTTATGTCTGTAAATGGGGTCTAGCTTCAGATCTTTTCCCCCTTGAGCTTCGGGTTTGTGTATTTAAGTGCTTTTTGATTTCTGTATCTTCCAGGGATCCTCAAATGCAGTGTGTCCACAGCTGAGTTTCCCTTCCTCTACTTTTTCCTCTGCCATTTCTATATCACCAGTCACCAAATGCTGCTTACTGTCTTCCTAAGTGGTTTTTGTATCTTTTCTTCCAGCGCTTCATCGTCCTATTTCTTTTTGGTGCTGCTGATACTTGCTCCATCATAGGTGTTCATTAAAAAGTTTGATTAAATGAAGAGAATGAATATAAGACCAAGTGTCTGCCCTGATTGCAAAAGATTCTTCAGGGCCTTT